GACAGGTAAATTGTAAAAAATCATCAGGATTTTAAAACCCAAATTCCTTATATTACTAGTGAAATTCACAGGTGAAAGTAACTACGTCACTAATGTTGGCAAAATTCTTTCCTGACTTAGAGATGTGGCTTATTAGACAATGTATCTTGCTTGCAGAGGGTCTGAATTCAGTGAGTGGCTCACAACCACCTGTAACTCCAGCTTCAAGGCATCTGAAACCTTTTTCTAGCCTCCATGGACAGCTTTATTTACGGGACACACACACACACACACACACACACACACATACCACATGCACACACGGCACACACATACACAGACACACTCACACATGCACACAAACATCCATACATGCATACCACATGCACACGTACACACCAGACACATACACACACATGCAAATAAAAATAAACCTTTAAAGGAATCTTCATTTTTGAATATCAATCCACATAAACCCTTTTTCATCTTTCCCTGTTTATTTCCTCCTTTCCTCTCTTCCATCCCTTATTTTTATTTTTTTTATTAATTTTTTGTTTTTTCAATGAAGTATATCATCAGTAACTGATGTAAGGTCTGTCTCTCTTTGCTGAAGAAAAACAAACCAGGAGTACCTTTTAGCAGCACTGATGAGTATGTGTCTTGCTAATTATTCATGATTTTGAGCTGCTCTGTGTATTTTAAATGTATTTTATTATTTATTTACTTTTATGTGCATGTGTATACAACATATATATATAGAAAATGTAAAAATAAATAATCCTCATAATTCCATAGTCTCATTATTATGTGATATTAAAAGTGGCCCATTCTACTCAAATTATGAAAAATACAGTCTAGTTAAGGCATATTTATTTATTCATTTATAGCTTTATTTTTATTTTATTTTATTAAAAACGATCTTTTATATTATACCTACCAGTTCAAGTTCCCACTCCCTTCCCTCCTCTCATTCCCTCCACCTATCCCCCCAACCCCACCCTGCATTCACTCCTCAGAGAGGGTAAGGCACATTGCTTTAGGAATGTCCAAGGCCCTTCCTACCATATCTAAGCTGAACAAGGTATTCATCCTAAGATAATAAGTTCCCCTAAAGCCAGTACAAGCAGTAGGAATAAATACCAGTGGCCCTGACCCAGCCATACAACTGTCACCGACATTCAGAGGGACTAATTTTGTCCTTTGGTGTTTTTTTTTTCCCATTTGGCTGGAGTTGATGAGCTCCCATTAGCTCAGGTAGACTGTTTCAGTGGGTATACCCATCATGGTCTTGACTTCTTTGTTCATGGATTACTTGTTTTTACTCAACAAACATTGATCAGAAGTTTCACATGGTCAAGAAAATGCATGAAGGATATAATACTGAAAAACTAGTCTTCATTCTTGTAATTAAAAAAACACTCAATATTCTTATTGCTAACCTAACTGCACTACACACTTACTGTATATTAATAGGCATATTTTATGCACCATGCCCTTTACTACTGAAAAGTTCAGAGTGCAAATAACAGGTAGATTAGTGACTACATAATCCAATCCAGAAAGATTAAGTGCTAGGAGGGGTCAAAGAGTAAGATGTGAAGATTTCCATTATTCATTAATTTTATGAGGCTACAAACTGTCTTAAATGGGAGGTTCATGGATTTTTACATAGGTATAGTACAGAGGAATGGTTTTTATGACATTGAAATAATGACCTTTGGGGAATCTGGTTTCCACTATGGGTACTGTAAGCAATATTTCTATATTTTACCTTCTTCCTCTAATGTTTCACATATGGGGTTCATTCATCTGTCCTGTTATGCGAGAAGCACTCCTTTTAGTTTCTTAGGTTTTCTGGAATGGAATTTCTCATAAATATCCTTTTCTTAAATTTCTAATAATTTGTAACTTCTTAACTCTCCTAGGTTTAGTCCATGTGTTTGAGTGATGACTGAGTAAAGTTCTACTAAGAGGGAGAAACCATGACAAGCTGATACTCAAAAGCTATATGAGCCCATAGAGCAGTGATAATGCTGGTTCTGGGGTACATAGAGCTGGGGAGATGGGAAACAAGGGTCAGGGAGTCATGAAACCAGGAAGACTGAAATGAAATCAGCTCTCCATCTTTCTCAAGACACAGAGGTGGAGGGGATTGATTGTTTTGTGTTAGGTCAGAAGATGTTTTCTGCCACCGTTGATATGGAGATTGTAAATACTTGAAAGATATGCACAACAGGAAGATTGCAGACTCCTAACATATTTAGAATGAGGAGGAAGTCTAGATGAGGAAGCAATGCTGGGAAAGAGACAGCACTTCAGTATATTCTGCTTGCCTTGGACATCACAATTTACTAAACTGTGATTTACCCTCTATGGTCTGGAGCTTACCATAGGAAAGAGTTTGGAAGTCAGGAAATAATATAAATGTCAATGTGTTCCAAGATATATTTTCTTTTATCACTCTGGTATCTTCTCTTCTTCTCTAGTGATCCCTCCTTTCTTAAGGGAAATCTATTTGATTTAAGTTGAATAAAACCTACACAACTTAAGGACAGAAGTGTGAAGAAGACATGACTAACTGAACTTCCTATTTTCCTGGCTGTAATGATTGTTGTAGGTATGCCAGTAATTTAGAATCTTCTCTGGCAATTTCTGTTAAAACAAGCCGAAAAATTATCACTCTTCCCTGTTCCTATGATGGAGTGTGTGTGAAGTGAATGGTTGGTCCTTTTGTTTACTTTGTAGAGAGACTATGAGGATATCTATGATGTCTGTGAATACAGGATAGAAGCCAAGTATACTTTGGTATTTTTATTCATGGAGTTTTGATTGCTTAAGCCATTACTAAGAAAATACTTATGCAAAGCATACAGATTAATGAATTAATTACCTCAAAATATAATCACAATGATGATTGTAATTGCTTAACATTGTTGGGGTTTCAACAAGTTTCTAATGTCTAAGGTGTATTGTTTCCACATGTTCTAAAATGCCAACAATTCAAAGTAGATGAATGGCAAAGTGACTTTAATAAATGACGCAGAACCAAAGTTCACATTTAGTCTTCTATGAAGAATTACAGTCATAATCCTCCATCAGGTAAGAAAAAATAGTGCCGATATGGCTGTGAACACAGATGAACTCCCAATTTGACCAATTCTAAACTTCCACAAATGTGTGTAGCTCACCAGTATTTTCAGTAATAATTTACATAGTGGAATTAGTTGCTCACAATATGAAATGAGGGGGTGTCTAAGGCAGACTGTCGACACCCCTGAGAGAACAAGTATTTCTACAATGAGCGAGCATTACCTCTGAAATGCCAAGTCAAAATTCCTTTGCCGAATAAAAACTTCTTTCCTGTAGTCGTATATGATAGAGGCCAATTTCATATTTAATTTTCTGTGCATTTCACTTTGGCCATTTCAATCACATTAGCGTTACTGTAAAGCCTCTTCTCACAGACACTTCCAGCCTTGATTCAGAAAGTAAAATGTATACGTTGCTAGTTAGCTTGCTTTCAATTGCCCCCAGCAACAACAACAACAACAACAAACCACCAAAATTAACCCCTTTCTTCACATTAATGTGTAACTAACAATCATTTTCACTATAAGAAATAAAGCATTGTTTTCTGTGGTGGGTGAACAGCCCCAAGTTTTAATTCCTTATTCCTTTCCAAAGACATGCGGACTTATACTCAATACTTCTGATCCTTGCCTATTAAAAGTTGCTAAGATACTTTTGTTAATACACCAGAAATCAAGACACCTAGAATGGTTTGAAGACTACCAATCTCCTATTCACATCCACTTAGAAACTCAAAATGCAAACTGATTGGCAGCTAGGAGTTTTGCACATGCAGTCACAACAAGACAATGCCAAGACAGAGTAGAGTGGGTACTAAAACTCAGTAATGGATTCTTATACATAATGCTTTAGGCAAGGAAGAGAGTCCCCATGAAGCCACAAGCGTGAACAGGAGTGGTACTCCTCCAGGTCAGGGAGTGGTACTACCTTAAGGTCGCAAATGCTAGGAGGAAACTGGGAGGGATCATGGTCCCAAACCTTCAGACAGACCAGAGCTACACTGATTTTATTTCCGAAATCTTGCCTCCAGTTTTCTGAGAGTTCTGCCATGCTGAGCTGCCTGGTCATTGGCACTGTCCCCAGTAGCTCTAGGGACTCAAGAGGATGGTTCATAGTACGTTGTAAAGGCTCTGTCAGTTATGCATAATAATGGGCTGGTCAAAAGTCATCCCGAGAACAGTAAGTCACCAGAAAAAGGTTAGAACGTTGTGAGGAGATATTACTAAAATATCCTGAGCTCATCTTGGGCTCAGGGTGTATGTGAGGCAAAACTTAGCACCTGTTCATCTATGGGCAGTACAGGAATCCATTAAGAATAGTGACCTGAAGCTCTCCATTACATTATGATATACCTTATCCCCTCCACAGCACTGTGTTTACTGAGGCAAGAGGACGGAATGATTACCTTAGAGAGATTTACAGCCACATATTTAGAGTTGAACTGAAGTGGGTTTTCTTAATTTCCTAGAGTTTTCTCTACAACAGTGTTCATTGACATTTAGTTCTTTTGTTGTTTACTTCATTTATAGGCTCCTTTAAAGAAACTTAAAACTGCTTGTTCATAAAATAAATATCCACATGCATCATTTCTTATTATTTTAGGGCAGTTAGAAACATCAGATAATAAACTTTAACAGGGGCTTCTCTGCATGTAGAGAACGATAAATTAAAAATCAGATTTAATGTTCAAACCTAGAAGTAGTTTCCAATTATCTTGAAAAATAAAAATCAATGGAATGAAATCCTTTCTACTTCCTAAGCTCATTGCAGCTGTGAGATAGTAATTCTTTGCAACATTTTTGTTCTCCGTGGTTATGTTACTGCAGCTCAGCTGAGCGTTCAAATTCTCCAAACTTCTGGTTAAAAGTCTATGTGCATTTTCTTTGTGTATTCTTTGATTAGTGTACAATTTCCTGTAATGTGAAAATTACCTCATTCTGTAGGTCACGGATCATTTTGCTCTTTCTTTCCACTTCAGTCTTCAAAAAATTAATCTGAAAAATAAATAGAATATTTATTTTTATTTTATTGATATATTACCATGATTTTTTTTACTTTATATCATTTTGAGGTATCCTAAAATTATTACAGTGTTAATAAAAACATTGAAAAAGAAAGGATTAAAGTTTCATTAACCAAAACCTTAATTTCCTATATCTTTAATCAATTTATTACATGTATATTGTTTATTATATTAAAGCTTGTGTAAATTTTCAAAGATACAATTTTATATTAGTGAAATATACTCATGTTCTTTTTAATACCAACCAATCTATATTTGTTTTCAACTAATTATGGAAATGATTAAATTGGGGCTGCTGATATCAAAAATTTAATCAAGGTGGTAAAGATCACAGTAACTTCAAATATAGTGAATTAAATAATTTTGGTTCTTTTGAAGAGAAGCAAAAGGCGAGCATTCAGTTTCACCATCTACATCCATCTTTTCATGGCGGCTTCCATTATGACTATTTCCCAGGTAGCATGCATGAGAAATCCACCACCCAGTAAAAGTTACCCCAGGTTTTGACTCTAAACTATAGAAGCATCTATTGTCTTTTCTGTGGTGTTTCAGCTAAGGCACCCAGAGAGAACCAGCTGTTCTGTAGCTCACATGGGTAGAAGACGTTGTTGACCACCATTTTGGGTGTGGAAAGTCAAAAGACGTGTTCAAATGATTAGCAAGAAGAGAATATCAGGTTTTACAGAGATGGGATGAAGCTGGCATATGCAGATATCCGAGTCATATAGGTAGAGAGGTGTAAGAATGATTCCAGATGGAGTCTCTCATGTCTTCAAGAGCTGAAACAGCTGTACTACTTTCTAGAAGACCCGTAGCACCTGACTCCTGATCTTTGCTTTCTATAAAGGGCTGCTGGAGCCTTATGTTACCAGTAAGAGCCCTGCTCTTAGAGAATCTATGAACATAACAGCTCCATCTGTTACTGAATAATCAAGCTGAACCATCTGATACTGATGGCATATATAAAAGAGAAAATGCTTAAGAACTACCCGGCCTATTGTTTCAATCATTAATTCTCCAGTTTAATTAAGCTATGTGGATGCTTATGTCAAGGAAATACCACTAATCACAATCACTGTCCCATTACATGGGAAACTCAAGACCTTTGGTGATCCAAAATACTTACCTGTAATGGCATGACACTATTTAAAATTTATATATCTGCAGAACCAGGGCATGCTTTCTGATAGATTAATTTCATAGCTAGTTCTATACATAAATATTTTGTTGGTAACAAAAACTTTAATTTGTGAAATAGTGGAAGCAATCTTAGTTACATACATAATCTATTCTGATGCCAAACCTTCATTTATTGATAGATTCAGTATGCTTGCATTGCTAAAATTCACATTTATTAGTAATATACTGAAATAGATTTCAATATCAGGCCTGTAATTCATTAAAAACTCCACACAGCCATATGAGAATATGAAACTCAAATATATTCAGAATGTTTTAAAATATTAGCATTTTGAGATCACTGGCTTAGAATCCCAGCAGGATTTAACTTCCCTGCAGAAATAAGTATTCCTGGTATTGACTTCGATAATGGCTTTCAGAGACAAGAATACCAAGTGTTTGCTGTGAGCAAAGCATGGAAGAAAGGCGCTTCTTTATGCTTGATGAGGATGGTAGCTTTGAGGCAACTCTTGCCTTAGAATTATGTTTCATCCAGGACAAGTTGAGCTATAAAAGTTAACAGGAGTCGTGAAATGCATCCAAACACCATTAATATCTTTAATTATCATCGTCACACCTGCTATCCTGTTCTCCCTGCTGTCTGCCAGGCTTTGGCAAGGCAGACCCAAAGCTGAATGATTTCTCACTGCAGTATCTATGCAGAGATGAAAACAAATCTTTCTGTCTTCATAAAAAGTGTGTTGGAACATGATCATTTCAAGGGGTATCTGCTGCTCACATAATACAAATTTTCATAAATATATTCTCTTTCACTTTCATGTTTTATGATTTATAAACAAGTTTGTTATTGTAATTCACAGAATTTTAGTTTGGACCTGGAAAACCTTCGCTTATTGTAATTTTTGGAAGAATTGTACAAGTTTTCATTTGAATAAAAAGGTCACAATTTAAAATTCAATCAAGGTCACCATAAAAGTATATCTTTCCTTTGAATATGAAATGGTATAATGATATTTGTAGACTGAAATCCAATTCCCCATCAGAACGAGGGCAAGGCAATTACAAAAACTTCCCTTCTTTGCCACAACTTTAATTACTGTAGAAGTATTAGAAGGCAAAATAATTAGTGATTGATTTGCAACAGTAGACTTGTCCAACACACAAATGCATTCAATGTTTAGCATAGGCTGTTTATGTAGAAAGAAAAATCCCAAGATGTTCTGTTCAAGGTTCATCAAACTGTTCTTACCTTGTCTTCCCAAATGAGTAAAAAGTAAAACTTTAATGACTGGAAAGATTAAAAGTTTGCATTGTGTGTTTGTCCTGGATTTTCTTTATTGGTATGTTTATGAACACCAGGATACTCTCACGGGCTTCTTTGACAGGCTTTCAGGGAGCACAAGAGTGAGGAAGGCTCTTTGACATAAGGATTTCATTTTTTTAACATGCTTTCTGGGCTGGTTAATCTTCATTTTCAGCTTGATTAGATTTAGATAATGCAGGGGAAACACTCATAAAGCTATCTGTGAAGGAGTTTCCAGAGAGGTTTTATTGAGAAGGCAAGAGCCAACCTGAAGGTGGGTTGCACCACCCCAGGGGTTAGATGACTAAAGAAGAAATAAACCACAAATAACCGAGAAGTACTTAAAGAAATATTCAACTCCTTAGTCTCCGGAGAAATGAAAATCAAAATTACTTTGAGATTTTTTCTTACACCATTCAGAATGGCCAAGACCAAATAAAGAATGACAGATAATGATGGCAAGGTGTGGAGGAGGAAAACTGCATTGCTGGGGGAGTGCAAACTTGTACACCCATGACGGCAATCAGGTTACTCAGGAAGATGGGAACTGATCTATGTCAAGGCTGAGCAATACCACTTTTGGGAATATATCCAAAGGACATCTTATTACAGAGACAACTGCTCACCATTGTTCATTTCTGCTCTATTCATAATAGCCAGAAATTAGAGACAGCCTAGATGTCCATCAATGGAAGAATTGATGAGGAAAATGTGATACATTTATACAATAGAATATTACTTTAACTGTTTAAAAAATAAAATCATGGAATTCTCAGATAAATGAATGGAATTGGAAAAAATCATCTTGAGTAAGGCAATCTAGATCCCAAATGACATACATTCACTTATACGTGAATGCTAGCTGTTAAGTCGGTAAGCAGGCTACAATTCACATAACTAGAGGTTAGGTATAGAGTAAGGAACTGGTGTGTCAGGGGTAGTGGAAGGTTGGATTATCTTAGGAAAGGCAGATAGAATTGATAGTTATGGATGGATGTTGTGGGTGGGCGCACTGGAACAATAGGACCAAACAGAGAGGAAGAGGAAAGAGGTCAGTGTAGCAAGGAACTTGGGGAGGTGAACAAAAGCTAAGGGTCATTTAAGGGGTCATATGGAAACCTAGTCCAGCAGAAGCTTTCTAAAACACATGTGAAGGTGATCTAAACAGAATGGCCAAGTAACGGGGTAATGGGGAAAATAAAGCCCAAATAAACATCTCTCATCACCAAATGAAGCCTCCAGTTCCAGGAATGGGTCACATCTAATCTAAGTGTTGGTCAAAGGAACCCCATAGGAACTCCAAGCCTATTGCTGAAGAAAACACCTATATAAAACATTAAACACAGAGAAGTTAAACTGGTGCCTGTGTAAAGCATTCATCCCTACTGAACAGCGTTCATGATACTCAAAGTTACTCTGCACACTTCCAAAGGAGAAAGGTAAACATTAATCCAGCTACAACACCTTAGATATATGATGGTGACCTCTCTACAAGATGTGCTAGTGCAGTAGAGATACAAAGCTTTGGTGAGTAACCAACCAATGTCTGATGGAATTTAAGGTCCACTTCATGAAATGCAACCTATGCCTGACACTGCTTGTGCAGCCAAGAGTCTGAGACTAGACAGGACAGAGACCTTAAGGGAAAAGAAAACCCTACCATTCTGCTGAAGTGACATTACAGTACAATGACTTCTAACAGTGTTCTGATTTACTTAGCTCAGTGTCATCCTCAGCCAGCAGCAGAGAAGGTTTGTACTACAGTAGATGCAAATAAATACAGAAACCTGCTGCTGGACAAGCTGTGGAGAGACCATTCTAAAAGTGATGTCTGCACAAGCTGTAGAGAGACCATCCTGCATGGGATGTCTCCATCAATTCCCCTCTGTCAGGGCTCAGGGAAACCTGTGAAGGAGGCAGAAGGGGAGAAGGACATTAAGGAAACAAATGACAGCAGGACGGTGCAAAGTCACAGAGACTGATGTGGCATGCACAGGATTTGCACAGGTCTTGGCCAGATGGGGTCCCATGATGAGACAGGAAGTGGACATAAGACCACATCGTTAGCCCAGGAGCTATCTCCAAATGATAACCATTAACAAATGGGAAAATTAGTTTCCTCCAATTGAATCTCACTGCATATAAAACCACTTTTAAGGCCAGGCCCAATGCCCACTAGAAAATAGACAACCCAAAATGAACTCAGTGGCAGTTTGGAGGCTTTTTAACCATAATGCTTTGATGCTTTGTCAGGGCTTTTTGTTGTATTTTTGGTTTTAACCATACAGGTCCTTAGGATACATACATATACACACACACACACACACACACACAAAGATACACACACAGATACACACACACATATATAATGTTTTTGCTTTTTTATTTTTCTGTTTTTATTTTTATTTTATCTTTGTTTTGGTTTTGTGTCTTTATGTGATTTCTGCATGTGCAAAAAAATGTGCTTACCTCTGTGTCGATATGAGTTTCTTGAACTTTATGGTTCTTTTGCTTCTGTCTTGGTTTGT